CAAACCTTTGAAAACACAGAGCTCTTTCTCACCTCGAGCCCTCCACATGCAGCCGTATCAGTCACCTACGTCCTTTTTACACTTTTTAGGCATCCTGTTGAGTACTCTTCAGATCCTTTCTTTAGTGGGCATTTTTAATAGAACCTGTTCGTATCAGATCTACAGTTTGTGTTCTTTATTCCAGGTCAGAGTAGATTTTATTTTCTTTCATATCAATTATTATAACTTTTAAAATTTCTGTTTGTTGCATTTCTTTAACAAACGCTTCTTTCTTACTTTAACTCCTAGTTTTAATGATGAAGTGACATCCTTTAATTCATTACTGTAACCATAAGGCCTAAAATTAGGTGCTTAGTTTTCTGCTTATTAAATGCACAAATGAAGAATTGACCAGGAAAATAAAATTAATCACTTGTGAATTTCTTGGTGATAGAGTGATAGAGTTGCCACAAAGTTTTATTCCTGAGTATTTTGATATTTTCTATGGTTGACCATATGGAAATTAAGAATAAAAGCTTATCAATAGCAGTTTTATAATTGCTGTAATCTCATATATGGCAATCTTCTCTCACTTTACTGTCATGGAAGCTTAGTGAGTGTATGGGCATCTTTTATCATGTTCAATGCTGATCCTTCAGTAGTATCTGGTGTTGCAGTGGCTGTTAATTATACTTTTAGTGATCACTCACCACAATGGAGGTATATTTATTTTTATGATTTTATATCTTTTTCAACAATTCTGGTTAAATTTGAACAATACAAAAAAAAAAAAAAAAAAAGAACTAGTAGGGTGTCTAGCTATTTCTAATTTTCCATTCCTCCTGGGCAGACAGAAAATGCATTTGTTACAATGAGGGGCAGGTAGTTTCTCTACAATCAGGCAGACATGTGATTGAGACCTGATCAATGCATTATGATGTTAATCTCAACCTACTACAACACAGGGGATACGATGGTGATATTCCTAAAATTTTCAGGCTATATATTTTGTTGATTGTAAGGCATTTTTAGTCAGTATGTGAGGTGAATATTCCTAGAGGCGACTATGCATAGCAATTACACCCGCACCTCACTCTTTCTATGCCCCTGACAGCATAAGCTGAGATTTCCCCCTCACACTTCAACTTTACTATTTTTTGCGCTCATGTGTATGATCCAGGGGATCCAACTTGAAATACTACCGGTTTTGATATTTTCAGAAAAAGTTTGAAATAAGTATGAATTTTACATTATTTTTTTAATGTGGATCCACTAACTCAGCTGCTGAGTAGAAATCAAACTTGCTGAGCAACACTTGAAGCATGAATGCTCTGGGGGATCAGCTGCTGTGATGTTTGTCTTTCCTGTGCTTTTGTCTTTCCAGGGCAGCAGTGCATATTTTAGGAAGAAAACCTCAACAAAACCCATCTTTATCTTATTAGTCATGCCCTGCCTTAAAATCATAAATATATTCTAGTTCATATTCCTTTGTTAGATCTTTTATTGGACCTTCAAATTTAACTCTTCAGCATATCCATTATCTACTTATATAATGTAAAGTAGAATTCTAGCATTTTTTTTTAAGCCAGGGTCTAGTTTTTCAATAGTAGCAACTAGGTAATCTGTCACTTCCAGTGAATTCCCACCACACACAAAGGTTCAGTGTTCGTCTCTTTCTTATCCATTGATTCATTCAATAATTCTTTCTATGCCATCATCATAACTATACATACAACCCACTTGTACCATATCCAATTTGTTAAAAAAATCTTTCTTCCTTTCCGTATTAGTAAAATTGATGTGTTTTGGATTATGTACAACTTATATACATATGACAAAAGAACAAACGACATAAAATCCAGCTCTAATCTTAATTATAGAACAAATGTATAAATTGATTTGTATATTATGTCAAGCAAACTCATATAATAGAAAATGTCTCTGTATATTCTTTAGTGTATTTGTAAAGTTTGAATATTTTCTCTATAGAGATCATATATATATATGAATTTCTAGATGATTTCCAATTTTGCTTGTTATTATCTTCCTAAATCCTTTAGTTATTTTTACTAGATTGGAATACAAATGAATATTTTTTTGACTTTACATTTGACAACTTTGATTCACTATTATATTGCTCAAAATATATTTTCAATAGAAAGTATTAGATTTTTTTCAATTAGGAGGCATATACCATATTTCCAATTTTTTCACTATGTATTTGTTTTACTCTGCTGTTTAACTGTAATTCAATTTGCAAACTGATGAAATTAATTTCACTATTGGTTTGATAAACATTTTTCAGTATTTTTTTTATTTTGCTAACATTCTATATTTTTCTTGTGCAACCTGCCTTATTTTTCATTTTTAAACTTCTTCTCATTTCTTTCAGCTTTTGCTGTTCTTCATTTCCAGTCTTTTGAGTTTTTGTATTTAAATATAAGTGTTTGATAGTGTTGGTATTTCTCAACCTCAACAATATTGATATTTAGAGCTGTGTGGTTCCTTGTCATGTGTTTCAGGAGTTGTGTAGGCACCGAGAATATTTAACAACATCTCTAACTTCACCCCCTCGTTGCCAGTAGCAGCCTTCTCTTAGTCATAACAGACATAAGGCCTGACATTGCTGAATGTCTTCAAGAAAGAGAGGCAATTACACTCTATTGAGAGCCACAGGCCCCTGAATAAAAGCATATAACAAACTGCGAAGTACTCACTCAGCACTGCTGCACCTCACGTAAGAGCACTCATTGGTTATTTTTTTAAGTTAATTTTAGTGTGTCAACTTTGGACCACTTCATTCCTCTCCAGCTCTACTAGAGCTGCAGTTGCACCATGGTGGAACAGGCAGTCTCAGGAGAGTGACTAGGAGTAGAAGCCAGAAAATCCTCATTCCCTGGGAGATGTCTGAAACAGTAGTGATCTCAATGGAAATGATCAGCAAAGTCAGTGATACACTGAACTTGATAAGCTGATATGGACAAGCAGCCTACCAGCAGAGTAGCAAAATCTTAACCGGAAATTTCATGAATGACAGTCATAATGGACCAAGGTGAACTGCTATAGATCCCTGGCAGACTGGAAGACTCTGTACATGCTCAGGAGAGAGCAAAGAGAGTCTAGTTATCATCACACCAGCGTTTAAAGGAGTAGCTTCAGGCATGAGCAGAAGAAACAAAAGAGTCAGAGATATTAAAAATCAAAATTGTCTTTATAAATATTTGAATTTTGATTCCCACCGAACACGCAGATCCATGCAGTAACGAAGACTTAGTAGCTGAAATTGAGCATGGTCTCCAGTAAACCATACTTACACAGGGGGACTAGCTAGAAAACTGGGATCAAAATGAAAAAGAATTTTTTAAAAGTCCCCTGAACCATCAGCATTCACACACCCCAGAGGAGAGCCGCTCTCATCACCTTTGGTACCTGCAACCATGATTAGCTGCCTTGGAGCCTGCAGATTCTTTTCCCCATTTAATTACGAGTGTGTAGTACTTTGTCCCAGTAAAGAAAGAGAGAGACAGAGAGAGAGAGAGAGACAGACAGACAGACAGACAGACAGAGAGAGAGAGACAGAGAGAGAGAGAGAGACAGAGAGAGAGAGACAGAGAGAGAGAGACAGAGAGAGAGAAACAGTGACAGAGACAGAACAGATAATACCTATAACTTATTAGTACTCAGTAATAAATGGAAACTCATATTAGCGAGGTTTGCATGGGTGAACTTCAAAAACATTCTAATTGAATAATGGAGATGTAAAAGTTCACATAGTGCATGATTTCTTTTATATGAAATATCCATAAAACACAAATACTAGATAAAAAACAGATTAGCTGTTGTTTAGAGGTGAGGGAAAGAACTAGAAGTGACTACAAGTGGATATTAAGATTCTTGGTTGGGTGATAAAATGTTCAAACTTTGGAAAAAATTATAAAATGCACTAAAAAGTATACATAAAGTAACTAGATTATGTTGTGTGTAAACTATAGGTTGCGATTCATTATAAAATATATTTCTATACTAATATACATAATATGACTTTTTGAGATTAGTACAAATTCCATTATTCCATTTAAGTAAATAATAATAACCATCATAGTATTAATAGCATTGCATATTTGACCATTATGATTTATCACTCTTGAGTCCTTAAAATGTATATTCATATTATTTGTAACTCTGAAAGAGGAAACAATAAGCCAGTTACTACAGGTAAGCATAGACACTTGTGTTAACTAATTTGCTCAAGGACTCTTATTGAGGCAGACTAACTCTTAAATTCATAGACACAGCCAATGATTGTTACGGTGTACTAATGTCTGTTTGTGAGTGCATGTGAGAAAGAAATGAGATAGATTTATATGAAGTGAAATATTAAATATTAAATGGAATATAGCTCTGTAGTTAATATATAGTGCTTTTGATAATAAATTAACTCATAATTATTGACTATATATATATATATATATATATATATAAATGAAATCAATGTTAAAGTTATGGATTCCTTAAGGATTAAAATTTAAAAAGCTTTCCAGTGCCAGATGATTTCTTACTTTTATTATACGATTTAAAAAATAAAAAATTTGTTATCTGATTTACTTACTTGTGAATAGCAACAGCTTTATCACAGATTTTGGTAGGTTGTAATGATACTATAACATAAATCTAAAAGTAAGATCAAATTGGATACAATATTTTTACATTTTCTCTTACCCAATGCTTTTAAAACTTGTAAGTACCTTGTAAACTATTCTAAGCTTCATTTTAGTGTCAGACATGGTCAAACACCAATGACAATATAGTTTCTTACCTTTATATAACACGTGAAAATGCATCAATCACTGATACTCATTTAAATAAATTCATAAGCTTTATTATTGCCCTTTAGAACAATATTTATTGAAGCAAAGAATAAAAGAAATTATTTATAATCGGTAAATTTTCATAGTATTTGAGTTTTCACGGAGCGATTATCCAGAACAGAGTAAAGCAAAATATTTAGTGGAAAATCTTACCACGCCAATGGAAAAGTAATTATTGATGATGCTGTAAGGCACTGGGTCTCCTTTCTCATCCTTGTCATTCGGTACAACTTCAAACTTCCATCTGTCCAGCATGATTTCTGTGCTGCTTTCAATACCTTTCAGGATTTTCATCAAATTCTCACCTTCATAACCTAATGAAAAGAAGTACTGTGAGCATGCAAAATCAAACAGAAAACAAAAGTGTTATCGAAAAGAATGATGCTATTTTACTTTCATTATTTTGATTAAGAGCCTAAAATCATTCCAGGCTTCAGAAATAAAATAGAAATGTAACATTTATTCAGTGCTTTATGATACAAATGAATGACTGAATCTTCCTGAAAAGTCATAACTATCATTTCAAATGAAGTAATATGAGAAAAAGCAATAACAAGTATTCATAAGCGTGTTTCATTTAAAACTATCATTTATCACCTTACTCTCACAAACAAACCTTTGCTTTCAATACTCTTCAAGTTTTTGTTAGACAGATTAATTAGTACCAGCAAATGTCAGAAAATGCTAATTTAGTCATTTTTCAAATGCCCTAGGACATCCAAATTCTTTACAGTGTTATATTTTCCAAAATTTGGAAATACATTCTGGTTAAAACCTGGCTTCATCTGGGCAGTTTCTTCCTTTCTCATAATATCTGTTGTACATATTGGATCTTATTTACTCTTTCAGTTTTGATTGGAGAAATGAGAAAATAAAGCAGAGAAGAAAAGAGGTGCTCCTCAGAGAGGCATTCCTCTCCATCTGCCTAAAGAGTTCTCCTTATTGTTCAGACTGTGTCAGTCCTGATCTTATTTTGTGACTGTATATATAAATATTTTTTGATTTGTTGTCCATATGCTCAATGAAAATATAATCTTCTAAAGAATAAGAAATGCAATGTATACAATTTGATATATGCGATAGTTCTTGCCTTTGTCCATCAACAGGAACTTTTATGTGGTTTTACGTGATTCCTTAGACTCTGTAAATTGGATTTCGTTATATATTTAACCTACTTGCTAAATTAGAAACAAAATTGATTAATTTCCAAATATCAAATGTTCTTTCTAGAAGAATACAAGATGTCACATATGTATTTCCCTTCTTTATATCAGTGCACATGTAGGAGAACTGGCAAACATAAGTATCTTATACACTTAACTCAGCTTTAGATAGTTTTCATGTACTATAGCATATAGCATATTCTTTTTTTGTTTTGTTTTTGTACCAGAGATCGAACTCACAACTGTGCGTTTGCCAGGCAGGTGATTATGATGCTGAGCTAAATCCCCAGACTAACTATAACATATTCTTATAAAAAATTCCAAAAATGTTACTTACTAAATTTTTAATTTAGCTTTCAATTCTGTGTGTTTAACATGCACACGAGTTGAACAGATAGTCACCGAATAGTAGTTTTCAAACTTTGTTGTAAATCAGAGTTACTTTGAGAATTTGTTTAGAAAGAACCGCCTACCCAGGTCTCATCCTAAGAGACTTCCATTCAGTGTATTTAGGTAGGGTCAGTTCACTACATTTTTAACAAGCTCCCTAAGGCCTTCTGATTCACACAGTCTCCGTAGACTCAACCTTCTCTTAAGTTTAGATGCTAAAAATATTTAGCAAGAAATTTTTGCTTCTTTAGCAAAATACAATGATGTTTAGTAACCTTTGGACAAGCTGTCTATTGGTGAGTCCTCAAAATATTTGCAGGTCTCATTTTGTAATATTCTATCTAGACACACACTGTTCCATTTTTAGTTCCGTTAGTGTATCCAGCACCTCGTCATCTCCGTGTCTTTAAACTTAATGCCCCTCTGCCTCTGAGGTCCATTCTGAATTTTACATGGCTGTGTCATGATCTGCTTTTCCCACTGTGTGGGTGAAGCCTTTCCTTGTGAATTGGTATCTGTTTACTTGACAATAGAAAGTTTCAGAGTTCCCAAATAAATTAAAATACCATGAGATTGGATGGCCCTTTTGTTTTTCTCCTCTCTCTTCCATATCCCTGATTATACTGTTTACCATAAGGCATGCCTCAAACAGTAATTCTTATTTTGTCTTCCTTGGAAAGTGATACAGAAAGTCTTTTTATTTTCTCCTTTGTTAGGGATTTAATCACATGTTCATAGATTAAAAATATGTTATATGTATCAACTCTCTGTGAAGAATATAATTATGTTCTGCAAAGATGTTCTAATAAACAAAGAAAAATTAAAAACCTGAAAATTACCTCAGAGTCATCGATATTTAACTCATTTTCCAAGCAAGAAGAGTCAAAACCAAAGTTACGTGAAAAGTTGGTGAGTCCTCAAAATATTTGCAAAAGCAAACTGGTAATTAGTCCCTGATTAAAGCCTAATATCCATAGTCTAATTCCCTGGCAGGAAGTTGTTTCTCTGCCTCAGACTATGGTTCAAAGTCATTCATTCATAATAATTTTGCTAAAACAATATGGCAACTGTCATGCAGTAAAGAACTTCTGGGTGCTTCTCACGCGGTTTGTGCATGTGTGTTGTGTGTGAGCCGTGTCTGGGTGCTGCTGAGCAGCTGTTATACCTCCTCCCCATCGCAGGCATCTCGCTAGGTCATTGCCGGTCCCCAGAGGCAGGATAGCAACTGGAGGATGCTTGACTACATTGGCCTTTTCTGTGGAAATGAAAAATTAAAATAAGATAAAGTTTGAACTCAGACAGTACGGTAATAATAATAGACATTCTGACAGTAAAGGAAATAATTTCATTAGGTGCTTCTAAAACAGAAAAGAAAATCTTGTTTTCATAGATGTATATAAATATAGATTATGATAATTCCATGCATTGTGACAATTGTGAAACATAAATGAATGGATTTATTGACAAGGGAGAGGGATTTTCAAAACTCAGACCCTAAAAAAGTCTGTCAACTCGCTAAAAGTTGTGCTTTGCATGCATATTTTTTCTCCATTAAAATCCTCAAGGCAGACAGGTTCACGTAGCCCAGGGGCTGGAAACCGTCCAGGGTAGATGAGGAGTTCCCTACTGCACAAAATCCTTTGGTATTATCACCTTTAGGGACTTTTTACTTTAGGGAATAAAATTTCTGAAAGATGATTTATTCTAAAAGTGAGTAACACTGTCTTTGAATTGTAACTCCTTACAGTCCTGCTTTGTAACTAAGCAGAGGAACGAAACATTCATCCCTGCAGCCGAGCCCAGCAGGTTTTCCTGGAGGGGGACTGTTCATCACACAGCGCCAAGAGCTTAAGGCAGCGTAGATCGTTGTCACTGAAATTTCACATGCTCTTGTTTGAACCATCACAGGCCTTGAGTGAAACTCACCAACCTTTATTATTTTATTTTTTCTCCATCCTTAACCCCTTTGTTCTTAGGTGTAAGAACAAAGGTACTGGATAATTTAGGAATATACTGTAAGGAAATGCCCAGACACAGATTTTTAGGGCTAAAATAAGCCAAAAGTTCCTACTCTATTCATTCTTCAATACTCATAAACCCACACTTTTTTGCTAATGTATTAACTTATAATTCTTGAACTCCAGTAATTTTTATGCAGAAATATTGATATTATTTCATTTTTTTCTTGAAAGGACAAAAGTAGGATTTTCACTAAATATTTTATAAAATATTAGTAGGCTTAAGTTGGTACATCTTACTAGTAGGCTAGTATGCCTACTTAAGCCTGCTTATCATTACTAAGATATCACTGAAAATATGTAGTTATTTTAAATGTAAATATTTTGTAGTCTATGAAAACTAGAATATTTTTATCTGTTTGACCAAGTAAAAATTCAATTTATAGAGAGAGAGCAAAACTTTTGAATCAATTTTTATTATGAGAGAGCAAGTTTTTAATAAAGACTTCATCAATTCAGGTAACTAAAATAAGCCTAAAAATAAATATTTGTTTTAGATTGATCTCTTCCTAAATGCCAGTTTATGATATTTATCTAGCTAGTAATCATTTTTGACAACTGTCTAGATCTAAAACACTAGGTAAACTTTCAGAAGTTAAGTTTATCCAATGCTGCATGCTCACTTTTTATTTTGAATCACAGATCTCTTTTGTGCACTTATAAACTCTTTAATGTAACCACAGAGCTACCAAAGAAGAAAGTTTGTATAGGATTTCAAACACAGCTCTGTCAGTTTCAACTGCAGGACTTATTTTAGCTCCTAAGTTTCTCCAGCTCTTAGATTCTGTATTTTTAAAATGGAATTGTTAACAGTCTACACAATAGATTTATGGGGGAATAAAGGACTATACCATCTGCTAGTACATGATAAAGAAAAAAAAATAGAAATGACAATGATGATGGTTGGCAATAATATGATTGTCCAATTGTAAGATTTTGAGATTTCATATCCAAGTAAATTCATTGTATCTATTTGGCAGAGACTTTATGCTGATTCCTTTATACAGGACCAAAACACAGGCAGACTTCTTACAGCCAGATTTGAAAATGAACCTGACGTTTCAGGAAATACTCTGAGAAACGAATTAGGAGTAAGTATTTTTAGAATAATTTTAAATTATTATGTCCATTCACGTTTTGAGATGAACAGTGTAAAGCCCACCAAACATATTAATGTTGATGATAGATAGACAAGCAGACAGACAGACAGGCAGACAATCGAAAGCCACCACTCTCAGTCAAGTTGCGTCACCCCATGACATTGCATTACCTATGCAGTCCAGGATCCAGCCCACAGTTCCATCCCCACCACAGGCCAGCACTCTGAAGTCAGGAACGTCACGGAAGAAGTTTAACCTGAAAAGCAAGCATGTGAAGGCACCATTGATATTTTAAAATGAGAACCTGTTCATTTTCTACTCCGCATTTGTCCAGTGAACTACGTATTTTTTTTAATAAAAACTAATTTATGTCTTTGGTATTTTATATATAATTCAAGGAAACCTGTAATTACATATTCAAGGTTCTGTTCTTTAATACTACTTTGTAACTGCATATGCTAAATTCTACGAGTGTGTTTTATACTTAACACTAAAATTTGAGAAACAAAATAGTTGTTATAATTAAAGTTATAGTTATAACCCATTAAGTTATAGTTAAATTATAAATTTAATTACCATTTTCTTCCAGATGTGGTATCAGTTCATATAACATAGAATGATGTACTCTACATATTTCTTTTAATAATTTCTACTAATCAAAATTCTCCTTTCAATAACCATGTAGGTGTGATTATCAATACAGTGTGTTTAATATTTTTGTGCTTTCTTCACTACTGGGGGAAGTTAATCAGGCTGCAAATGGGGTTCTAGCCAACTGTTCTAGTTTAACTGCTGAGCCAAATCCTACTGCTTCGAATGCAGTGTATAGAAAAATTGCTTTGGTGCATGTTGTTTTATTCCCAGTGATTATCTTTGAAGCAAAAGAGAGGAAGAGACCCAAGTTTATGCCCTATTTCAATTTCTCTTGCAATAAAGAAGCTTGTATGACTGTAAGTGTCTGCATTACCTGTCTTGTAACTATTAGCAGAAGCATGAGTGGTCCTGAGGGCAGACACTGCTAACCAGGGTAAAAGCTGCGATGAACTGTGGCTCCTACATCCAGATCTAATTCAAAAGAAAATGGCAGAACGGTTGGCTAGAACCCCACTTGCAGCTTGATGCGTGGACACATGTAAAGCTTTTCTCTTCACACATTTTAACATTTATAACATAATGGGGATTGTTTAGGGTTAGGGTTAGAGTTAGGCTTTGCCTCTATGTGCATAGGTATTTTAAACTTCAAATGTGCCCAAGAGATCCTTGTGTGTTAGCACATACCATGTGCCAAGTGTAGTACCAATCTTGACATACCATGATTCATTGTCACAGGATGATACAAGTAGATGCCAATATTAAATGATCACTTTTTAAACAGAATTTTCAAATATTCCTATTTCACAGTTATAAAACGTATTATAATTAACAAAATTTGAAGAATGTCTCAGTCAACATGTATACATATTCGGGGGCTTCTCAAGAGGAAATATTCTGTGACATCATCCTGTCTCTCTGACTGTCTCCCACTGTAGACTGCACACCAAATTCCTTGCAACCCAAAAAGAGTTCATTTGAACAACTTAGGCAAATGTAGTTGACAAAGAGAAAATACTGCAACATTTTTTGTAACATCCCACTTTCCCTTTTACTAGTGGAATGAAAATATATTCTTAAGTGTCTTGGACTTGGAGGGATTCTTATGTGAACAGCGTCTTCAAAGCCATGATCCTCTTTTCATTGAGTTATCCTGTGATCTTGTGTCAATCAACTCGACATACGACAAGTGATATTTTACATTTAAATTTACTTTATTTAAAATGTTTTTTTCAAAGTTACACAAACTGCATAAAAATAACAAAAATGTATAAGAATTAGCTAAAATCAATCATCTTGTAATAATATCCCTGTTTTATTAAAGGAAGACATTTTCTTGTACATTTTAGTGTACAGTATTATGTATGGATATTTTGCCTGTTTAGATATGTTTTCTTCTGGTCTGTTACCATTTGGTTTGCTTATGGTATGCATACTATAATAGACATCTATGTACTCATTGCCCCTGCACAAAGTGAAACATTTTCATCACCCTCCACATACTCTCTGTGCCTGTCCACTACAGCACTGCTCTCCTCCATCCACGGAGGTGAATGCCATTGTGAATATGCCAGGCGTGTGCTCTAATCAGCAGACTGTATCTGTTTTCCACTTACCATTGGTACAAACACCCATCAATGTTGAAGCTGAAGTTCTTTATATGTGCAAGTGCACTTTTTTCAATTCTTCAGCTGTGTAAAATGCCAATTACATAAATGTGCTTTTTAAAAATCCATATCAGTGGGCATTTGGGTGGATTAGCTTTATGTTCTTGTAAAAAACGTCCTCTTCTGTGTACTTCCTAGTGGTTTTAGTAGTGGCTTCTTTCAGAGTGAGATTGAGATGCATGTAATTTTATAAACCATACCAGTTTGTTTCTCAAAGAAGTTGTACAAATGTTCAATGGATATGCTTGATGGTCTTCCTCTCTAATATTTGCAATGTCACTCATGGTTTCCTTGGTGTTCTGATCTATTTTCTATTCCTGTTCATTTCAGTTAGCAAAAATTCCTCACTGGTTCCGACTTTGTTCTTTTATGATTTGTAGTTTTAAAATAATTCTTAAAAGTAGAAACATTTTCCTGTTAATTTCTTGAATGCATATTTAATAAATACGATTTCAGCTATCACTTTCAAAGAATATTGCATAAAAGAATCTTTCCTTCTCCGAGGTCAGAAGAGGAATCCATATACTCTCTTAAAGTTGCAGAATAATTTTGATGGACATTTTTTAACTTGTTATGCAATAAAGTAGGCACTTTCCTTTCATTTATTTTCCTCCTTTATTGCATCATTTCTTCTTTGTTTCTTCTTTCCTTCCTCTTTCCTTATATTTTTTCATTTCTTTCATTATGGTGCACCAATGTTTTCTACTTATTTTTAACCAACTTTATCCATTTTTAACCAATTTTGACTATTTATTTATTGAACAATTCACCTTCTACCATGAAACCTCAATCATAGATCTAATTTTGTCTATCGATATGTTTATAATTGTTTTTATTCAGTTTCATTCATTATTTGCATCTTTGCACCAATATCACATTCTAAATTTTTATAGTTTTCTACTGTTTATATCTCATAAGGTGTGGTGAACCATAGCTATCACTTTTCTTTGCTTTTTAAATACATTTGAAACTTCTCTTCTATAAAAATAAAAATAAAAACAAATGAAATCAGTTGTGATTTTGGTTGAAGTTGTAGTAAACCAATAGATCAGTTTTGTGATAAATGATACATGTATTATAAACTTTGTTTATTCCTGAATACAGGATTGTTCAGGTTTGTAGATATTCATCCACGTTTTTCAATAAAATTTAAACTTTCAGCTTAAAATGTTACATGTGCTATGTTATATTTGTTCGTCCTTTCTTATAATTTTTATCTCAAATATTTTTGAAGGTGTGCTTACTAACATTAATATTAAAGTTTTGTAGCTAGGTTGTTTAAATTCTTATATTATATACTGATTCTATAAACAGTCATAGTTCCCCTATTTTTCTATTGCCTGCATTTTGCCTGTAGAAGCATTCAAATTTGTGTAAAATTGCATCATATGATAACAGCTATATTATCAGTGATATCTACTGTCGATAATTACTATGTCATATTTTTTCAATATCCTGGCCAGCATTGCAATTTAGTATGAAATATGAAGGTACATACAGAACATTTGATATCTTGTTCCTGAATTTAAATATAATACTTGCAGTATCTGCTTATTTGTGATGACATTTGCTAGAGGGAATTTCATGGTTTTTGTCTGAAACATTTTAACTGCCTAATGTAGCTCTCTTCTACTCTTATTATTTTATTATTTAAAAGGTTAATTTACCACGTTTTGAATGCTCTCATTCTGTTGTAGTGAGAAATACAGATTTATTCATATCCACAGTAGGAAACCATTCTTACAATCCTTTCATACACTTAAATTGACCACAATTTACTAATATTTCGACAGAAAATTAGATTTGGTTGCTAACATTTTGTTTAGAAGTTCAGCAACTATATTCAGGACCACAATACAACTGATTTTTTCTTTCTACTGTTTATCCACTTTTTAAAATTAAAATTATACTGCCTCATTATAAGTTGCAGAATACATCACCATTTCCCTTCTTTCTGAAAAAAAAATGTGTACTGTTGGAAATTTCTTTAAAAACCTGATAGCACGTTAATGAAAACTATCCAATTTCTGGTGAGTCTTTTAAATAAAACCCTCTTAAATGATCATTTAAATTCTTTAATAATTATAGTTTCTAATTTTTCCTAAGCCAGGTTTTGCTAGTTACATTTCTATAGTAATTCGTACATTTCTTAGATTTTTTTTTTCACATATTTATACTGAAGCTTGAAAAAGTTCTTCAAAACATGCCACTAGCAGGACACTGACCAAGAGGCTGATTGCGCCTGGTAATAGCCTAACACCCATTTGACTCCCCATCGTTCTTCTACTCCATGATGAAGTGTCATGTTATTCATTCTTGTTTCCTTTTAAAATTGTCACCATTGGCTCTTCAGCAGCGTCCTACCCCCAAACATAAACCATGTGACTGTCAGACCAGCTTACTCTCCATAAATCCTTTGCTAAATGGATTGAAAACTGACCCTTCTTTATCTCAGTTTCTTAAACCACTCAAGCCATGCGGTTTGCCTAGAGATTCATCCATGCCTTATTTCATTCATTCATTGAATCAAAGCTTTGGAATAGTCTGTAATCAATCTGAGCCTTGGTTTGCTTATTTTTAAAAATCGAATTCGTACCACCTGCTTTGTTGGGTTGTCTATACACACTTAAAATATTTCTGTGTGATACTATGTATGTGTTACTATTATTTCAACCATCTTTTCCCTTCACAGCACATAGGTGTCGTAGGTAAGGACACAACACGTGCTTTTCCCCACATCACCCATCCCTAGTGTTCTGACAGATTAGTCACAGAGCATTTTCTCAAAATCAAAACTGGATTGGACAGTGAGGACCCTCCTACCTACGATCTGAACTGGGAGCGAGTGGGCAATCTGGAAACCCATGCAGAGCCCAGAGGACAGACGATGCAGCAGCGACCGAGAACAAACAAATCCAAGAACCAAAATGCAGAGATCTACATGGCACCGGCTCTTCACCCTGGCAGGTGGCCATGCCCAGCCGCTGTGGCCTCCACT